CATTTGCGACACAGAGATGGATCTTAAGGGCATTATGCTAAATGATATAACTCAGAGAAAGACAAACACTGCATGATCTCTCTTATATGTGGATTTTTTTTTCTTATTAAAAAAGAAGCACATAGAGGGGCACCTGAGTGGCTCAGTCGTTAAGCGTCTGCGTTCGGCTCAGGTCATGATCCCAGGGTCCTGGGATCGAGCCCCTCATCAGGCTCCCTGCTCAGCGGGAAGCCTGCTTCTCCCTCTCCCACTCCCCCTGCTTGTGTTCCCTCTCTTGCTGTCTCTCTGTCTGTCAGATAAATAAATAAAACCTTTAAAAAAAAAAAAGCACATAGATAAATAGAACACATTGGTCATTGTCAGAGCTGTGGGGGTTGGGGGCTGAAAAAGTAACCAAAAAAAACAGACAAGTTGAGAGGGAGAGATCTTTGTGTGTACCTATAATCACACTTGTCCCTACTTTTTGAACAAAGGACACTGCATTTTCATTTTTTTTTAAGATTTTATTTATTTGACAGAGAGAAACACAGTGAGAGAGGGAACACAAGCAGGGGAAGTGGGAGAGGGAGAAGCAGGCTTCCCGCTGAGCAGGGAGCCCAATGCTGGACTCCATCCCAGGACCCTGTGATCATGACCTGAGCCGAAGCAGACGCTTAACGACTGAGCCACCCAGGCGCCCCCGTATTTTCATTTTTCACTAGGACCTGCAGTTATGTAGGCAGCCCTATTCTACTTGAAACTGAGTTCCTTAAGATCTGGGCACATGCTTATTCATCATATTATTCTGTGTCTAGTATAATATATGACATTTATTAGATAATAAAAAATGCTTTTTGAGATAACTTTTATTAATTTGATTTAAAGCATATATGTATGTATCTATAAAACATCTAAATATCTACATATTTATTTATACATCTATATAGTATAAATTAGTAGAAATATATATTGTGAATGTATAATGATATATGCAGTAGATAGATGGGTATAAAATATTTAGAAAACAGACTTCTAAATATTTTGGTCTTCCAGTTATCATTCTGTATTAAGAGACTACTGCTTTAGTCCCTTTGAATTTAAAAGGTCATTAATTCAAATGCTAATGTAATCATACTGTATTTTAAAAACTCTAAAAAGTAGATTACTATCTGGTAAGTGGATTCATTGCACCATAAGCTTTCAGAATGTGCCCAGTGTCAGCACATTTCTATGAGAAATAAATACAAAAGTAGTACCTGCCTCATTCAGTTATTATGAGGATTAAATAAGATAGTATATATAAAGCTAAGCCCAGGACGTGGCACAGAGTGAAAACTTATTAAATATGAATTATTATTGTTATTTCTCCTTAACTGGTCTCACTCTGTAGTAAGTTATTTGGGAACTCAGTCCTAAAATCTTGGTTAGTAGCTCTCCAGTGACAAGGACTGTGTCTTATTCATCTTTGCATATATAGTGCCTGACCTGTAGATGGCTGTTTTATAGTATATTGGTACATACGCATCAGAAGGACTGAAATTTTATTCTCTTACATAAGTAACTAGTCGTTTTTGGTGGCTTGGTTTTGTTCAGGAAAGGCACAGGATATTGCAAAGTTTTTGAATACCATGGTTGTAATTTAATCAGCTGTAGGAATTACCACATCATGGCAGTTTTTAACCTTCTTTTCCCAAGGAGACATACTCCATACCCAGTATTCTCCAGTGGATGTACTCAGCGCTGGGAGCAACCAATTAGTTGTAACTCTCCCCATTTCTCTTATTAGTTATTGTAAGTTATTATGCAAGTAATCAAGAGTGACCCAGTGAGAAGATAATCATGAGTCCATCTAAATTAAAATTTTAATCATTTTATACATTATTAACTATTAGCATAATTATTGTGTTTTGTGGTGACTAGCTCAAACTTCTTCAAAGAATTCTTTGAATTCTTCAAAATTCTTCAAAGTCAAAACTTTTATATCTTAGCACTTCCTGTCTACTTAGTCATAGTTAACCATTCCCTCTGTGAAATTCTCTGTTCCCTTGGTTTCCATGATACCAGTATTGCTCTGGTGCTCTCCACGGTGCCAAAACTGGTCTTTCAAAGGCTAGCATTGACTACAGATTATCTTCTGTCAGTCCTCATTCTCCGTACCCTCTAAGCAACATTCAATATGACAACTCCCTCCTCCGTGAAAGGCTCTGCTTCCTTGGTTTCTCTTAGAGCAAGAACTATGCTGGTTTTCCCCTTAGCCTTCTAACCACTTCTGACTCCAATGATGTGCCTCTTCTTTCTCCCCTAACCCCAATCCGGGAGTTCCTCGAGGATTTTTCCTAGGCCCTCTAATTCTCTCTCCCATTCTCCCTTCCTTGGCGATATTATCTATGTCTAGTACTTTAGCCATCACTCTTAGGTGTATAACTTCTGCATATTTATCTCCTGGTTGACCTCCCTATCCCACTCTTATCTCTTGTTTCTAATACTGCTGGATCATTTGGAAGTTCATCTGGCGGCTCAAATTCAATATACCAAAAATATTTGTTATCTTTGCACTAAAACCAACTCCTTATCACGATTTTTGTTAGTGGATATCTTAGTTCTGTTAGGCTGGCTTAAAAACCTTTGAAATAATTCTGGTACTTCTCTTTACCTCTGCCTTTCTTTTTTATCACCTTTCAATTCAACAAAACTGTTCAGGGTTGCCTAGGCCTATCTCTGCACTATCTTTGAATCCCTTCATTTTCTACTTCTTCTGAATGGTATTGCCCAGCTCTAGATACGGTGAAGAACATCATACAGACTTCATAGTCTGGCAGAGGGAAAAAGGGGGTAAAATCAGTAATTATAATACAATGATGTAGAAGTAAAGGAGAAACATCCCAGAGAGGACAGGTAAGACTTCTTAAAGGGGGTGACATATAAGCCAAATCTTAAAAGATGAATAGGAGTCAGACTGATAAAGGCAGGATGAACATTCTGGAAATAGTAATAACACATGCAAAGGAATGCCAGCAAAGAAGACCACAACTCATTGTTGAGGTGTAAGTAGCTCTGTAGGACTAGAGCTCTGACTTCATGGGGAAAGCAGGAGGTAAAAAGAGTGGAGGGAGGGCATTTAGGGCCTTGTTTTCAGTTACCTGTTGCTCCATAACTAACCGCTGCAAATTTCATACCCTAAAACAATAGCCATTGATTGTTTCTCGCAATTCTCCAATGGGGTAGCTGTCTCTGGGGATGGCTCATCTCTACTCCATGTGGCACAGACTGGTACTGCTCCACTGGGGCAGGAGGATCCAGGATCCTCACTTACATGTCTGGGGCCTCAGCTGGGGTGGCCCTGGCCGGGTTTCTCTTTCCTTTTCACACGGTCTCTCAAGATTCTGTAGCCTAGGTTCTTTACATGAAAGCTGTATCTGAAGAGAGCAAAAAATGGAAGCTGCAGAGCTTCTTACGGATTAGCCCAGAAGTCACATGACATCTTTCCCCCTACATTCTGTTGGCCAAAGTAAGTCACAAGATAAGCTCAGTTAGAAAAGGAGAAATAGATCCCACCTCCCTTTGAGAGGAGCAGCATGAATGCAGAGGGATAGGAGGAAATGTTGGCAGCCATTTTTGTAGACGATGTACCATGGGCCTTATAGATCACAGCATTTTAGAGGGTACCATTATAGGATTTTAAGCAACAGATTGATATTTTAGACATATATGTTTAAATATATGTCTTTGATTCCTTAATAAAGATTGAATACGGGGGTCAGGGCCAGTACCTGGGAACAGGGCAGCCAGTGAGAAGCCTCTACCAGTGTGTTACAGGTTAACCTCAGGAAAGAAAGCCTTCTCTATGGGCCCTCATGCCTTGCCATATTTTTCCTCCTCGTGGAAACAAATGGAATGACCAAAATGTGATCGATGCCTTTTAATTTTTTTCTTTTTCTTTCTTTCTTTTCTTTTCTTTTCTTTTTTTTAAGCAAGACACCACCCAGGTATCTGCCCAGGACTCTGCCCCTTTCAGAAAGATGGGTTCACATCTGCCATGGGGGAGGAAATATGTAACATTGTAAATCCTCTGACCAGTGCTTTTTTGTTTAGAAATACCACTCCTTGCTTATTTTACATTGCTGCTTCAATAAATAAACCAGGAAAGTCAGATGGGACTTTTGGGGAAAGCAGAAGCCTGCTTTGTATTTCCATGGGGCTTTTCCTGAGTCAGATGATGCAGATTTATATGATCATAAAGCCCATATGAGCACTTAATTTCTATGCAAAGTGAACCCCTCGACTCTTGCCTTTAGTCCCTTCTACAGTGGTCTACTATGCCTTTGAAGAAGGCACAGAAAATATTTACAGAATGTGAAATGTTTTATTATACTACCTCAGTAACTAAATTTCCTTCATGAGTAGCAATTTTAATATGCAAGCAATTGTAACTTGTGTAGAGGAGAGCAGACTAGTGCTTATCGGTGCTTGCTAGAGCAAACAAAGATCCAAAATCTGGGAATGGAAAGGTGATGGTGGTTCCAGATTTTCAGATGTTCCTGGATCCAAGATTTTAATCTATAAACAAAAGTCTCTCCTTGTTGGTATGAGAACCTGAGGATAAGGTTACAGTGCGGTACCTCTTTGTCAGTGTGCAGATGTTCTCTGGGGTTTCTGAACACTTAGTGAATGCGATGGTGGGCATCAGGGATGATGTTAATTTCCCCCCCACAGGCTCCAGAGCGCTGTGGCCAGAAGCCAAGATCACTTGGAGAGATTTGGTCTCAAATCCCAGCTTTGCTACTTCCTAGTTATTTGACAGTGAGGAAATTCCTTAACCCCTCTAAACTTTAGGTTTTTTTTTTTCCTGTATAAAACCTCACTAAAAATGCACCTCTCTCATAGGATTGCTGTAATGGATAAAAAGAAATACTTTTTATTGCACTTAGCCTAGTGAATGGCACAAGTGCTCAGTAGATTTTTAACTGTTATTGTTTTAATGGACTTCCAGCTGATGTTTGCTGTTTCTCTTTACTTTTCAGGGAGATGTTAATCTCTGTGGCTCTGGGCCAGGTGTTATCCCTTCTTATTTGTGGAATTGGCTTGACCAGCAAGTACCTGTCAGAAGATTTCCATGCCAATACACCAGTCTTCCAGAGTTTCCTCAATTACATCCTTCTCTTTTTGGTCTATACCACCACACTAGCTGTCAGACAAGGTAAGCGTGCCAAAACCCATATGCGGCTTGGAATATAGCTCAATTTCTTTTTTACAAACATCTAGAGGATTGATGAGCCGTGACTAAATTAACTTTTTTTCACTTACAGCATCATAAGCCAATTCAGAACCTCAAATCTCACTTTTCTATTTTGCAGTAATAAAGCAAACAGAATGAACAAATAAATCACAAAGAAGGATAAATTGTGTGAATTCAGCGGGAAGTGGAAAATGCATGTATAGGCAAAATGTACAATTGCTCACTATCTGAATTTCTGTTAACATTCCTTGTACCCCTCAGTGAATCTAAATAGAATGGTGCTTCCCTGGAAGCTGGAAAGGCCTGATGCAGCTGTCCTCACTAATGCCAGTCCTGAGAAATCCAAGGGAAATACAGACGAATGTATGTTCCTTAGGAAGATGTCATAAGAAACATAAAAATATTAAACACAATCAACTCTAGTAATAATAAAGGGGAAAAGAAAGGAAAGAAAACTACCACAAATGGTCAGAGGAGATGTTCTGTCTAAATTTAAAATAGCTAAAGCAATAAAACAAGTCCTCCAAGAATCAATGCAAGAAAAACATTTTAATTGGCACCTGAAGTTGAAATCCTTGGGGTGTATCTCTGGAAGAAGTATAATTCAGAATCTTATCACTATAACACTGAATCTGGTGTGAACACTCTTTCCTCTGGCCCAGAAATAGCCAACAATTCACCCCCAGAAGCTGTTGACTGTGAAATATGCACTTAAAAATAGTCGTCAATAGGTTTAAAGACAATTATACACCTTAATAATAAATAAGGATACATGAATAGCTTTACTCATCAACCCTAAGAGTCATACTTTTTTGAAACTTTTGTAAGAACCATATCAGGAATTTCATTTTTACACTTATTTAAATGGTCATCCAGAATAATATTGCTTAATTATAACAATGTGGCCAATACTAGATTTTATTCAGTTGGGACTGAATTCCAGTTTAACTTTGGATTTGTTTTAAGTATTGGAAAAGCTAATTTCATTTACTTCTCAAAAATTGTATTATTGGTGTTTGTTTGTTTTAATTTAACAACAGTAGACATAATTAATTTAAGAATAAAATTTCAAATAAAACCTCAGGTTACAAAAGTTCTAGACAGTGAGTCTCAGCTATATTTCCTCAGTGTGATCTGGAAGCTAACAGTTTGAACACTACAAATGCGAAAAAGAAAACCCACAAAATTCACAGGAAAGTGGCGAATTTATCTTCTCAAGATTTTTAGAACTAAATAGTCTAGACAACGAGATGGTGAACTGCAACGAATCTTTGGGTTCTTGTCCATCTTACTTTCCAGGAATCCAGAGATTTAACAAAAACCTTCATGAGGAAAAAATAAAATCAAGTCACTTTAAGAAACAGAGAGAAAATTTCAGTCAGAAAAGCTTAGAAAACTAAGTGTAGCAAAAGACCTAAAATTTATAACTCTACCTTCTATCAAGACTCTATAATGTGCCAGACGCTATGGATGTAAGTTATCTCCATTATTCCTTCAGTCCAAGGAAATAAGTATTATTATCCAAAATTTTATAAGTTCCTGTGTCAGGAACCTGCTCTAGGCTGTAGAACTAGTTGCTGTCAGGCTCACCCTAGGCCAAGGTCACGTGCCTCCCGGGACTCCCTGTAACCCCATGTGGGGTTTAGGGGATGCAGAAGGAGGAAAAGAAGATACTTCTGAACTAAAGGAAGGGGTTTTGCTTGAATTTAAAAGCCCTGAATAAGAAACCCGCCCTGGGGCCAGGCCTCCTGAGGCAGAGCAAGGAAGTCAAGAGGATGTGGTGCCCGGGGGTGGGTGGGAAGGGTAGACAGGGGAGAGGCACACCTGGCAAGAGGCCAAAGACGAGGACAAGGAATTTGGAGGCCCTTTGGAAAAAAGACTGAAGGGCGCCTGAGGAAATTCTGTTTATCCCAACCAGTGATGGAGAGAATCAGTTTCTAAAATGCCTTATCTGGAGATTTTTGCCATTGCCTCAGCTGATCACTTGATTCACTGATATGTCTTTATGTGGGTGTTTACTCATAATGTTTGTTTTAATCTTCATCTTTAGAAGTTTTAATAGGCTGGCATTAAGCTAACATCTGGAAATCAACAGAGTAATTACATTAATTTTGTATAGGCTGATTCAGTACTGTGTTCTAGAGACATAATGATCTCTTTCCTTGTGCACCTCACGATTTAAGAGGGAATGAAAAACAGAGCAAAGACGATGAGAGGATGGAAAGTCTGGTGTGTGCAGGGGACGTGCTCTCATAGCCACAGTTTCTTCTTTCCTGGTGCTTCCTGACCACTCCTCCCAGAGGGCTGCAGAGCAGGACTGAACAAAATTACAGTCTTTCCCATTCCCCCAGCACAGACACCATTTACCCCGCCAAGCCACCATTTAATTTGATGTCACCTTAGGTCACATAACTGCAAGAAGTTAGTCTTGGGAACATATCTTTAAACAAATATTTCTTTATCATTGTAACCATACAACTTCTAAAAAGTTATGATTGTCACATGTGAATACAACGTGATGAAAGCAGGAAGCCCCTCAAGAGGGTTCAGGGTGATGTTATGGCAAAAGCCTTGTGGAAATTTGACTTCAAGTTAGACTGAGTTCTCTTTACCAGATTTGCACTGAACCAGTGACCAAAGACTCTGAAACATCAGGTTCCAGTAGAAATTCCAATATAACTGCAGGTCAAGCTGGAGTTCTGGACTTGTCCCTGATTATTAATTGTTTCCTACAAAAAATTTGACTACCATCCTCCTTAAAAAATGTATATCTAGTTGGACAGGTTTTAAGTCTAGCCCTTTACTTGCTTGGTGCTAGGTTTTTATTCCAGATAGTTCTACAACACGCTTTTTTTTTTTTTAAGATTTTATTTATTTATTTGAGAGAGAAAGCGCACGAGAGAGAGCATGAGTGGGGGGAGGAGCAGAGGGAGAAGCGGACTCCCCACTGAGCAGGAAGCCCAATGCGTGGCTGGATCCCAGGACCCTAGGATCATGACCTGAGCTGAAGGCAGCCGCTTAACCAACCTAGCCACCCAGGTGCCCCTATTCCAGATAGTTCTAAAATTCAAAACGATTTTGCTGTTCATAACAAAGAGCCTCAATAATACATCTCTATAGAAAAAGTGTGCTTCAAACAAGTAATTCCATTGACACTGTAACAAGTTTGAGAATTTAGCTATAACTTCAGTAGGTTAATAGTGACCAATTTTAAGAAGTTATTCAAGGCAGTTAAAATGTGCTCATTGAAGTAATGCCTGAAACCCAGACTCATGCTGTATGTACCTAGTAGGGCTTCAGGAATTATAAAAAAAAGCTCAGCTCTCTTCCTGTGTATCCTTCCTTTAGTCTCACACTATTGTCACCAGATGTGTGGTGTTTATCCTACCAAGCAATTCTGTGACATCAGATGGGAGTCCTACAGTTGATCTCAGTTCTGACCCTGTCTATCTGGAGATAGCTAGCGTAAGATCCCACAGGTTAAGAACTGAGTCTTACGTGACTGCCCCTTTCACTTCAGGGCCAATTGCAAGTCTGGGTTGTAACCTCTGCTTCTCACTGATGGACTGTAAATCAGACAGTCCTATGACTTCCTTCTTGGGTTTGATGAACTTGCCAGAGTGGTTCCCAGGACTCAGGAAAAGAATTTACTTACTGTTTACCAGTTTATTATAAAAGGATATGATAAATAATATAGGTGAACATCCAGAGGAAAGAGATGAGTAGGGCAAAGTATGTGGGAAGGGGCAGGGAGCTTCCATGTCTCTCTGGGCATGTCCCTCTCTCTGCACCTCCACGTGCTCATCAACCCTAAAGCTCTCTGAATCCTCTACTTGAGAGGTCTTTATGAAGGCTTCATGATGTAGGCGTGATTGATCATTAACGCCATGTCCAGCCCCTCTCCCCTGTTGAGAATGGACAGGTAGGGCTGAAAATTCCACACTTCTAATCATGGCTAGGACCCTGTAGTAACTGGTCCCTATCCCGGAGCCCACCGAGAGTCACCTCATTTGAGCAGAAGACATTGCCATCACCTTGGAAATTCCAAGGGATTTAGGAATTCTGTGTCGGGAACCAGGGCCAGGGACCAAATATTAGAACAAAAGATGTTCCTGAGTATTCTTATTACTTAGGAAATTGCAAGAGTTTTAGGAGCTCTGTGCCAGAAACTGGGGGCAGAGACCAATACCTATGTTTTCTATTCTCTCACAGGAATATAACTACAAAAGTATAGTGCAGCTTCCAAAAATTTTATGGATTTGCCTAGGAAACTCTCAAAAGAAGACTCTTCCTCATATCTACTTTTTTTTCCCCTTAAAATTCATTGTAATACTAGCTGAAATCAGGAAGCAGAGAAACACAAAAGGCAAAGACTATAAACAAGAGGAAAGAACAGGCTGGGGCCTAACTAAAGCCCAACGAGTTCTTGCATTTATATTGCAGAAGCAAGAAATGTGACAGGCTTTTAAAAACAAAGGTGAAGATAGGATATCAAGAAAAAAATATGTCATCACACTTTTTGCCCATAAACTTCTCTTATCAATTATTATAAGAATCCTGCTTCCCAGAACTACATTCAGCAGTTCTTAAATAGATACCCATGGTTCCTCTTCTGGCAGTTTTTAACTTCTGAGTGTAGATAAACCCTAGGTTTTAAACAGTCAATAATTTCCTTTTTCTTTTCTTCATCTGCCAGCTCTTCTCAGTTCTTGTCTCTCTAATTCCTTTTTATTTTTCCTTTCACTGTTTACTCTGTGATGGGGGAGGAAATGATTGTGGGGCAAATGCAGGATGCTGAGGGGGAAAAAACACTTTCAATCTTTATTTTCCTCCTCAAGGCATGGTGATAAAAAAAAAATAGGTACCAGTAATGAAAGCAGAAATAGAAAGAGAAGTGTCTGCTTCATTTCATATACGACCCTGGAAAGAAAATAAAATGCTGCCACCATTGATCATCATTA